TTCTCTTTTTTTTTTTTTTTTTCTTTACCAGAGCGGCTGCTTTATTGAAACTTGCCATAGAGCAAACGAGCTGCGAGTTCCAGCACAAAACCACCGCCTTCCCGCTCCACAATAACCAGTCTCAAAAGCAGTCTGCCAAGAAGATAATGTCCCACGAAAACGCATTGAAAACCTTTTAAAATTTTACATGTTGTGAAGTCAGTAATGAAGCGAACGTCAAAATAAGCTCATCTTTTTGGCAGTCTCTACAACGGACCAATTTGCAGCATCCTTCCTAAGCTGCATGACAAGCTTTATACAAAGCTGTAATAACCGAGACAGCAGCGATTACAGTACTAAAACTACAATTATAAAAAAAAAAAACAATTACAACAATAGAAATAATAATAAGAATACTTATTGTCATCATTATCATTATCATCATAATTATCATTACTATAACAATAACAACAATAATATTGATGATAATAATAATAAGAAAAACAACAATGATAACAACAATAACAATAATAATAATAAGAGCAACAGTAACAACACCAGCTCCAACCACAGCCAACAATAACAGCGACAACAACCAACCAACCAACAACAACAGTAACAAACACAACACCAACAAGGTAACGATTCCCCCCTTTCCCCTCCCCCCCCAAAAAAAACAGGACGACGAGGAGCTCCCGTTGCGACTGACAGGCAGGCGGCGAAGAGACCGATCAATAGACCCGCTGTTTACCAAGACCACCGTCTCCTCGGTCCCAACACCTGTCTCCTCCGGGCCGCCCGCACCTGTCCCGAACACCTGCCTCCCGATATCACACGGCGCCGACACGAAGCGCCCGCTGCGACGAATAAACCGCCTGGACTTATCGCGGCAGTGGGAGGAGTGGGGGTTGGGGAGGAGGGGGAGGGGAGTGATTACTGTGAGCGTCTGTCGATCGAGCGTTGTTGCGGAGGGATAGGGATGAGGACGCTGTGGTGAGTGAGGTTGGATCGGAATGATGGCGACGTTTGTGAATAGCAGCGGGGAGCGCGAGTGTACTACGGGCTGTATAGTTGAGTGTGATGTAGTGTAAGTAGGAAGGTGGTGTTTAGATATGGCGCGAGAGGTGATTGTGTGCGTAGAGGCGATATAGCCTGGGAGATGTGAGTAGGAGATGTGGGATAGAGGGGTAGGTATGTGAGTGTGTAGGGTTGTTTGAGTCGGGGTTAGTGCGAGTGGGTGTGTGAGGGGTGAGTTGGATATTCGATACGTGGGAAAGAGCAGGATACATGAGGTGCAGTGTGGAGTTCGGAGATGTGTCGGGTTGGGTATGATGTGGTGATATAGAATAAGCATAGTATGAGATGGGAGGGATAATGGAGGGCGTAGCGCGATTATGGTCGGCGGTGGGTGGGGTGGCCGGTGGATGGCGCTAGGTAGTTTAAGATGGGAGAGATTGGGGATAGGAGATAGGGAGGAGGGATATGGGGTGGAAGGATGGCGATGGTGGCTTAGAGGGAGGGGTCAGATTGAAGGATGGAGGGGAGTGGTGAATGGTGGATGAGGAGTGTGATGTAAAGGAGGAAGTATAGAATTGGGAGTTGGGGAGGATGAGATGAATAGGGAGGGGACGGGAGGGTAGGAGAGGAAGGATGAGGAGAGGATGGAGAGGTGACATATATACGAAAGTTTCTTATATACGTGGTTACAAATCTCTAAAAGGGAATTAAATCGAAAATTGGGTGATACTAGAAGGAGAACTCACTTACTGTAAAAGTACTACAATTAATACCATATAGAGATGATGAGGTAAGGAGGGGCTCTCGAGTCTCGACTGTTAAGTGGCTTTGAGGTGGAGAAGAAGGGGAAGGATGCCTCTCGAGGGTGTATTGAGGATTGAATTTAGAAGCGTGTCGTATCGGTTGGCGCGTTACATGGAAGGTTGGGCATGGTATGTGGGATATGGTGTCTCATGATTAGTGGTCCACTTCACATGAGTAGGAAGGACAGGGAAGAGAAGAAGACAGCAGAATAAGGAGCTTCTTCTTAGAGATTCGGAAAGGCAGGTGCATTCCCTAAATCCCAGCACCTGCATCTAGTATTAGCCCAGTAACACACCACGGGCCTAGCGTGTTAAACTGCGACACACGGACGTACGTACACAAAGACAATCAAACAGCGACGCACTGACAGACAGACACAAGAGCACAATCAAGCAGCGATATAACACGCACACTGATGTGGACAGGTGGGTGTTTGGTAGATAAACAGGAGTGTGTGAGTAAGTGGGAGAGGTGGGAGGTGGAGCGGCTGTATGGACTGGATGGGGGTGGAGTGGGAGGTGTTTGGTAGCGGCGGTGTAGGATGGCTGCTGTTTGGACGGGAGTGAATGAAGCGGTGGCCACACGGTCAGTCGCTGTCTTATTCCCCCTCCATAAAACCTAGGTCCCGATTTCAGACAAAGTTCAATTTGTATTCGTATGTATCCAGGGTACTCTCTAAGTATCCGCAAGTATCACATAAGTATCCGTGGTTCCCTGAGTAACAAATGGGTGTCCGTAAGTATCCACAGGTACCCGTAAGTATCCACAGGTATCCGTAAGTATCCACAGGTTCCCGAAAGTATCCACAGGTATCACAAGTATCCACAGGTATCCACAGGAATCCATAAAAAACACGTATCGCTTTATGATGCTTCACCTTGGCCTTTGAAGCTAAAAGGCTCCATCCCGTCGATTCCATAACAAAGGAAATAAAAAAAGGAAAAAAATTATCCCGCCACAGGACCCCACACAACAAGCCCCAAACGCCCCATCCTCTCCCCACCCTCCCTCAGCATCCGTAACAGAACTGTGGAGGAGGTTGGGGCAGTAGCCGAGATGTGCAGCGTATATGCAGTCCTATAAACACCATGATATTCTCTAAATCTAACTCTAAAACGATCTATTTGTTACCATAATCATTACTGTCATTATCATCATCACTACTATTATTCTTTATCATAAGTACCAAACGGTATTGCTATTAGTATCATTACTACTACAATATTACTATCACCGTTTTTTGTTATCGCTACAACTACTAACTACTACGTTACCCCGGCAACTCGAAAACAACTTAGGCCTAACACTATCCCCCCACACGGACCCCAACCTAGGCCTACCTACCATAATCTACACCTCCCACACACACACCTCACCCTACACCTACCTTCTCCCCCCCCTACACACACACACAGCCCCTACTAGACTACTCCCCCCCCTTCCCACCCCCACACAATACACCCCAACCTATACCCCCCCCTACACACAGCCCAACCTACACCTACTCCCCCCCCACACAGCCCCAACCTAGACTACATCTCACCCCCCCCCCCCCTAGACACAGCCCCAACCTACCTTCTCCCCCCCCCCCACACACACAGCACCAACCTAGAACCTACCTTCTCCCTCTCCTTCCCGACACACACACAGGCCCCAACCTAGACCTCCCCCCCCACCCTCCACACACACACACACAGCCCCACCCTAGACCTACCTTCCCCCCCCACCCAAAACACACACAGCACCACCATAGACCTACCTTCTTCCCCCCCTCCATCCACACACCAACCCCAAACTGGACCTACCTTCTCCCCCCTCCCACCCAACACACACAGCCCCCTTCACTACTCCCTTCCACACCACCCCACACACACCCCACCCTAGACCTCCTTCTCCCCCCACCCCACCCATACACACCACACACACACACACACACACACACACACACACACACACACACAACAACACACACACACACACCACACACCACACACACCACACACACACACACACACACACACACCCATACGCCCATTCGCAACCGCAACTTACATTCTCGTGCTTGAAGAAACAGAGCATGCGCAGCTCCCGGAAGACTCGCTTGCTGGACACGAGGGTCTGGAACACGTTGGGCATCTTCTTGAGCGCCACCCCCCGGCCGTCTCGCGGGTCCGTCACCGCCCTGGGGGGGGAGGGAGAGAGAGGGCGTCGGTTAGTGCGAAGTCGACGGGGGTTTTTCCCTTGGTTGTGGTGCCTTCGTCGTGTTTCGTGTCTTTGGGTAAAAGGTGTGCGTTTGGGGGAGGATGTGTGCGGTTGCAGGGGGAGGATGTGTGCGTTTGGGGGAGAATGTGTACCTTTGGGGGAAAATGTATATCTTTGTGGGAGGATATGTGGGTACGTAGTTCTGTACAACAATATGAATTATAGTCACATTTATAAATATCTGCACATGTAATGCACATAAATAACAAGAAAATAAAATAAAATAGCACAAAATATACAGAAAATATAAAAATATACACAAAAAAGAGATAGAAATATATAGGCCACCCTTGCACAAGGAGGACACCGCCCTGACTCTTTCCCCAACTGTCCTCTCCCCCCCTCCTCTTCCCCTCCCCTCTCACCCTCCCTCCCCTCCTCCTCCCCCTCCTCCTCCCTCCTCCTCCCTCCCCTCCCCTCCTCCTCGCCCTTCCCCTTCCAGCTACGTCTGCCCATAATGGTCACCCACAACCCTTTCCCCCTTTCCTCCAACCCTGGATATAGGTCAAGGCTGAAGGGAGGATCCAACTTAGACCACGGAGCGACACGCGGACTCCAGGACGAAAGAGGGAAGTAAAGAGGAACCGGATAAAGAGCGGTGGGAGGAGAGGGAGGGGATGACGAGACACGACGAGGAGGAAAGAAAGGAACGATGGAAACAGGAGACTTGTCAGCGTTATCGTACATGGCATCCTGTCGAACCTGTCTCATCAACAAGACAGTTCAAAACAAGAAGAACAGGAGGGAGGGGGAGAGAGGGAAGAGAGAAAGAGAAGAAGAGAAAGAGAGAGAAGAGAAGAGAGAAAGAGAGAGGAGAGAGAAAGAGAGAGAGAAGAGAGAGAGAGAGAAGAGAGAGAACGAAGAGAGAGAGAGAGAGAGAGAGAGAGAGAGAGAGAGAGAGAGAGAGAGAGAGAGAGAAGAGAGATGAGAAGAGAGAGAGAGAGAGAGAGAGAGAGAAGAGAGGGAAGAGAGAGGAGAAAGAAGAAAAGAAAGAAAGAGACAGAGGA